GTATGTGAGGTGCTGAACCTGAAGACTCATCCCTGACAGCAACACACATCAGGGAAGTGACCCGGGAGAGAAGTTCTTGATGATGTCAACGAATTGGTTTGCTCTCAACGGCTTTGTCAAGAATGCGTCCATCCCCGCCTCAATGCATTTTGCTTCCTCGGTTAGGTCATTTGCAGTGAGTGCAACAATTAGCAAATGACTTCCATCATCTTTCTCTCGCTCCATGCTGCGGATAGCACTAGTCGCTGAATAGCCATCCATCACTGGCATCTGCAACCACCATGGCAGAAAAAGTCAGACAACCTCATTATTCGCATGATTTGCATAGACCATATACACAAAGCCAAATAGCCATCCATTACTCGCTTATGCGATAGGCCATAGCCAAACAGCCATACGTCAGAGGCATATAGGCTGGAGTCAAATAGCCGTCCCTCGCTGGCATCTGCAATAGGCCAAAGTCAAATAGCCATCCATCACTGGCATCTGCAATAGGCCATATAGCCAAACAGCCATCCACCAATGCCATCTGCACCAAGCACAACAGAAGTAGGCAACCACTAAAAACTACTCTATATTTATGGGCATGAATCCCATAGGGCATAGTCACACGGGACTCACACCAATAATATGGCCAGCATTCCAGTCACACACATATCAGCAAGTCCCAGTTGCAAGGAAGATGAGCAATAGCGAACTTCAGCAATCAAACAGCATCATACATATGCTGTCTCTTATACACATCTAGATGTGTATAAGACGCAGAAAAGGAGGACATGCGAGCAAGATCGGCTCAGAGGAAGGCTGGTTTTGAGGGCATACAGAAAAACGTGAAGTGAGACAGAAGGGGTTTGAGAAAATCTGGCTCTACGAAAACAGAATGGCAAAGATAAAGAAAGGAACTCTGCAGTTTCAGGGCTGGGATTGACAAGACAAGAGATTTACGCACCTTCACCACTGTCTCTTATAGGATGGGACATGAAAGAGGAAACAAGAGGGAGAAGAGCAATGCAGAAAAGGAGGACATGCGAGCAA